TTAAGCGATATTCCAACAATATTTATTAATTAAAAAAAAAAACCTCTCGAACAGATAAATCAAGTTAAATGTGCTGCAAGCTACAAATCCTTTTTGTCCTAAAAAATTTATTTAAAAAATTTTCTCAAGTGATTATCCTTCTCTTTAAACCTCATTTCTATTTTTATTTATAATTGAAAGATTCTGCAAGTTTAGATATGATGGTAATGCATGTAACTGAAGAAATTAAAAAAAGGGGGGATGTCCGTCATTTTAACACGAGCAAAAAAATGACACCCTGAATGGAAACTCAAACAATTATGTTGAACGAAGTTTGTGATTTAAATAGATTTAAAATTGATAAGAAATTACTTGCAAGCTATGATAATATATCAAGTCTGTAAAAGTCCACATAAAAGAATTATTTAAACAAAATAAACAGGATTAATTCATCATCAAAATACTTGAATTCATTTTACAAATGATTGTACAAATATTAGGGCGAAGTATATGGCAACAGTTCCTTATTATACACCGTGTTAATGCATCCTCAAAAACCGTTTTTCAGCACGTTATCGCAAGTGCGCTGCGGGGAAAAGGATAACGTCATCCAAAAGTAACAAATGTAATGCTACTATTACGTCACAGACAGCGCAAGGGGCAAAGAGTTAACCATGCACTTTATTTACTACGTCATGATAATGCGACCGGAAAATCATAATTTCCCTATATCTATACATATTAGTACTTTTGTAAACTCTTTTTATATCGTCAAAAATTATCAAATATCTTGATGATCAATGACAATGAAATTGAAACATTACAACAATAACATTTTAAATTTGTTTCTAAATTTAAGCGTTTATAAAAATATTTTACTTATGATTTTCTACATGTTATCAATGAATTATTATAGTGAACGATTAAAAAAATAATTTTTCTCAGTTCCCATGTTCACTATCTAACACAACCATGCACAAAAAAAATCGGTCGCGGTACGTCGGATGATAATGGGTCTTTCCATTAAGTTTGGTGACACCGTGTTAAATAAACATTGTTAAAAAATAATTTATTTGTTTCATTTACAATCAAACATATTCATGTACATTACAATCCAAACACCTATGTACTTGAAACCTCAATACCCATTTCAAATGCTGCTTTTATGCATTTTTTATACTGCATTCGAATTTCCTCTGATCTAGATTTATACTTTAAAATAATTAGGAGTAACTCTAAGAATTTAACAATTCACAAAAGATAATATAAGAATAAAAGTTGGACCGCTCGTCATATCATACCGAATCCCTTGATAAGTTCCGTAAATACGCCAGGGTCACTCTCGATCAGGCACCAGTCTCCTGCACTTGTCGCCATTTTCAATTTTCAAACCGGAAGTAGCACATGTTTCTTGACAACATCCGGAATTGCAAATGACAAACAAGACAGGTGCAGAAACTGACAATAGACACTTGCCCGCTGTTGCAATGGTAATTTGACTTATATGATCAATGCTATGTGTGTAGATCAAATATTGGCCGAGACGTTAACTAAAGTGTCAAACAGTTAAGAGGTCGGAGACTGTTCGCACCTGTTCATATTTCCCAGGGGGTCTTTTTGACCCACATGAAAAAATAAATGTGGTCCACATTAAGGTCCTCTTAATGAACGTGTGTTGTTTTATTTTAATGTGAAGGCAATTGAAAAAAAAAATGAAAATACTGATTTTTTAAAAAGAAATTTTCAAATTGAATTAATTCATCTGCATGGGCCTTCTTTATGTTTCATGCAAATTAGGTCAATAAAATCTATTTGCTCTCCTTATAATAAAGCTAAAAATGTAAAAAATTATGTGATCATTCAGTGACATTGTCCCTGCTACTATGTAAATGTTCTTTACATGTTTGAGTTTGCTACGATCATTTATCAAAGTTAAATACAGTTTAACTTTATTTTGCTAAGCCCCACCCACTTTTCTTCTATATTTATTTTGGCCCTTGACATCTTGAATCATTGAATATATCAGTTTTTCTTCTTTGTTCCAATTTTCAGTATGGTCCTTGCACAGTCTCGGGCGTCAAGAAAGGCGATGTCAAACTTTGGTGTGCTTGTGGACTGAGTAAAAATCAGCCATGGTGTGATGGTAATTATTTTTGGTGCTGTAATGGTTTGGGCTGTGGAGATCAGTCTGGGTAGCTCAGTTGGTAGAACAACTGACTAGTGATGTAGCATTCGGCAAACCTTGGCTGTTTCTGTGGCCTTCAAGTATGAATCAGCTGAGGTGTGCCCAGTGGTGATGCAGGGGTCCCATGTTTGATTCCTAGTCCATCCAAACATTTACTCCTTTCTCATTACACTGAATATTTATGAAGCTCACTGTATTATACACTGTTTCATTTTAACAAGTACAAATAATGTGTGATACTCTAAGATAGAATAAATTATCTTTATTTAGGATCTCACAAAGGCACTGGGATAAAGCCACTGAAGTGGACAGTGTCTAAAGAGCAGAGACTTTTTCAGATCTGTGCCTGTAAGTACACCAAGGACCCGCCATTCTGTGATGCCACCCACACCAATCTACCATCTCAAGTCCTACACCAACAGGAAGTGTGTCCACGGCAACAGGACAATCACCATAGCAACAATAAACTCTGTACAGGATGTGGCTGGGTGCCAGATTTCTGATTTTAGTAACACTGATTATGTAATACAAAATGTGATTGCTGTGATATAAACTAGGTTTTTTGTGCAATGAAATGTACTTCACTGGAAGGATGGAAGATTGGGGGGATTCTGAATCTCATTTGATTTTAAGTCTCTAAAAACTATATTTAATTTCAAAGTTAACATGTCATAATATTTTGATCAGTGAAACCATGGTAAATGTTTGGGGGCAATGAAATATGACCTTCACATATTGCTGATGAAATCTCTGTTGTAAGCAAGTATGAAACATCAAGTTGACCTACATTGTAAATGTGAATTAGATTGATCATTTTCCTGTCAATACTGAGTTTGTGAAGAATTGTACATGTATGCGAAAAGGTATAATAGAAACTGATTCCAACCATACATTACCACTGTACATTTGAATTTTCTAGTTCTAATGTTTCTATGTGCCAAAATCTGTGGCAAAAAGAGAAATTCAATGTACATGTACATTGTAAATTGTTGAACTTGATCCTTAGATTGATGATGTACATGTTTGTGAAAGGTTTTCAAAACTTTTTTCCTACATTACTGGTTCTCTAATGACAAAATCGTTAACAATAAGAAATACCAATAAATGTGCTCATGTAAGATACTGTAACTGTATTATATATACCTTATTAATAGTCAATGAATGCAAGATAAATCAAGTCAGATTGACATATAAGGTTATTTAAATATCTAAAATGTAGCACTTGCTCTATTTTTCTTCTGTACAATAACAATTCATTATTAAGTTAGCCATATTCTGAACATAAACTTTGGTCAGCTTCCATATATAGTGTATTATAAATGTCAATTTAAATATATATAAACAACAATTATGATAATTATAAAAAGCTCACTTGAGCTTTCAGCTCTGGTAAGCTAAAAAGACTGTAGTACATATATGCAAGATTTCATTCCCGTGATCCATTGCTGAAATTTTCCTGATGAAATTATAATTTTAGTATGAACATAAATTGCACAACAGCAGGTGAGTACCAGTATAAATAATCATCACTGACTCCTTTTTGTCACTTCCTTCAATTAAAAATTTGTTCTCCAAGTCCTATCACTGACATATGTCATGGCTATGTCCTGAACTGAAACTTTCCAGCTCGTGTGATGTATTTGACTCCTTTAAATGGTTTGTATTTCTACAAATATTGAAAATAAGAATATGATAGAGTATTAACCTCTATGTATAATTACAAATTAAAGGTAAACAAGAAAACATAATTACTATTACATGTACTAGTATATACATTGCAGTCATAATTATTTTAGTAATTTTAAAATTAAAACAAGCAAACCCTAATCTAAGTATACATGTACTACAATCTAAACTAAAGATACTGATAGTAAACTTAAAAAAAAAATAACTCTGTTGTAATTTATTTTCTGAAATCAAACTTTCTCTCATTGAAAGCTTTAAGCCAGATAAAATGTTAACCCTTTTTGGTTACTGACCCTGAACTTTCTCAAGTCAAGGTCATAGCACAAATGAATTCAAGTCAAAGTCACATCACACCTTAAAGTAACAAGCAATCATTTTCTCTCTATGAGCTTCCAATGTTTCTTTAACAAAGTTATAGGATCAGGCATACACGGTAAACTTTTCTGTAAGTGACCTTGACTTTGGCAAAATGACCTTGGATAAAGGTCATGACTTATCCTTATGTTATAAGTAGAGTTTCTCTTACAAGATATGTCCACATGAATTATAAATGATCCCGAACTTGTTCAAATGACCTTGGATCAAGGTAATGACACAAATTACTTTGGAAAAACTATGAATTTCCAATCTGATAGTTCTCCATTAAAAATCTTAATACAACATGTCTACACTTTTCCTGCTAGTATCTTGCATAAATAGGCTAGGGTATTAAGGAAACAAAACCTCAAGTACATATAGTCAGTGATTTTTTGTAAAGAAAAACTTCCGCTTTTTCTTCATTTATACAAAGTTTAAGTCTAAACAAGACAGACAGAAAAGATCCCCAAACTTTTTTTTTATCAAGGAGTATGTGTAGTAAACAAATGTATTAAAAGAAAACGCAAAATGAAATATTATCTTAAGAAGTGAGTATTTAGAGATTACAAGCTTGACCTACCTCTCCATACATGTCCAGCCTGTTGACTTTGATTCCAGATATAGCCATCTGACTAATGGTGAAATTTATCTACAACAATAAGGAGACATTAGGCCAGAACCAAGCAAAATACATAATTACATGTGTTTAAAAAGATCATGGCTCAACATAATGCAAAATGAGAAACATGTACGTTCATTTAAAAAGGCACCATTTAGAATTTTACACATATTCTGGAAATAGGAGGCTTACATTTATTGTTGGGTTTGACTCTGGTATGGGATGACCACTCTGCAAACTTATCTGTAATAATTAAGAATGTTTATGTCACATAAAAATTGTTGCAAATTCCCCTAGTAATCAAAGTGCCACTTGTAAAAGTGGTACACCTTTTCGAAGATGTGTTTTTAAATGACAAGGAAAAATAACTCTGGCCAGAGATTGGGATTTGAAGGTTACTTACATTGCCTTTGATACTTGGGAGTTTGGTTGGGTCCATTCTACCTACATCCCAGGTAAGCATTTTACCTACGGGATCAAAGGTGTACTTCCCTTGAGAGGGTGTCAGGGTGAGATTCAGGACTGACTTAGGGAAAGGTACCTCCATTGATATGTTTTCTACCTACAACCAAGGTAATACAAATGTTAAAGTACACACTGGTATACAGTGGACCTTCAGATATCCGGACGCCAGATATCCGGATGCTTCAGTATTCGGACGCTTTTTCATCGGAACAGAATTTCAAAATGTAATTATGTCTTTTCTAACTGGTGACTCAGGTATCCGGACGCTTCACATATCCGGACAAATTGACTGGGAACCAAAGCGTCCGGATAAATGAGGCTCCACTGTATCTACCTTTCATTTACCCAATCATTTTACCAACAATGCTTTTTTAGAAGTGATATTACAAGCAGTTACAGTCCATTGACTTTTGACTGCTGCACACCTCAAGACAAAAACATGAATGTATGTAAGATATGTATGTAGACAAAGAAAAAGTATGACAGATTTGGAATTTGCCATTTTAATATTATTATTGGGTTCAATCAATGTATTTTAAGGTTGTTATTAAAAATCAATTTACATCTGTACATCACTTTCACAATGGCTGTGATTTCATTCCATTAGATTGAGGAAGGAGTGTGTGTGTTATGTCGAGCAGTTAACTTTGTCTTACCACTTTTCCCATGGTTTGTTTTGGTCCAATTGTGACTTCAAACCTCCCTCCACTTCCCTCCCTGTACTGAATGTTATGTCTTATATACAAGGGTACACCAACCATACTGTCAGAAAAGTCAGAATAAAGCAATGAAATATAATATTTTGTGGGACATCAGCCCAACTTCATAATCTGAATTCAATTGTTCAATCTTAAGCATTCTTCTTAGATAGTATCATACTTACTTATTTGATCCTATGTGATATGATATTAATCTAACATTTCCATCAGGGGGAACAAAGGACAAAACTTTTTCACTCTGAAAATGGAAAATTTGCAATAAACTGAAGTATTTCTTTGTTTAAAAATGTTATAATTACTATAGAATTTTAAAAAATGTTCCTAGAAAAATTCATTGTGACATAAATTTTCACCATACCTCCCATCTTTTATACCGAACACAAGGATGAAAGCTGATGTCATCTAGAAGTCGGGGGTTAACAAAGGACAAGGTCAAATCTGGCATCCCACTTAACTTTATCAAACAGTCTATCTGTAAATATATGCAGATTATGTTGTCTTAACACTAAAAGGATATCATTTTTTATGATTTTAGCACATATCCGTTAACTGCTATAAATGTTGACAATTTCACAGATTGTGTATTTCATTCAAATGAAATTGGTACTGCTTTACCAATAAAGAATACTCTTTAATATGCTATACACAATGTTTGAATATCACATACATGCACCATCCTACCATTTTTGAATGACTGGGTGTTTATCTAAATAAATGCAGACACCTCACAAGAATAAAACTCGATGTAGTTGTCATTGTGAGGACTTACATATCCCTGGACCTCTGCAATGACTGTGTTTCCTTGTTTATCAATGATTGCATCGATTTCCTCAATCACATCAAAATAGGCTTCATTGTTTGTGTATTTGACACCTGTTCTTCTCCAGGGTACATTGGACAACTGACCAGTGGGCAGAGTAGCACTGACCCTGTCAAGATCAAATGTATACAAATATATATACCTGTATGTAATTATGACTTGTTGAAACAATTATTCAAATACAGAAAAGAGCAAGAGAGAGAGGTCCATGGGGACATTTTTTTTTATTAAAGCCAGTGTTTCAGTGTCTCTTTCTGACAAATAAAAATGTGCAATATAAATGTAGATAAATGTTGAAATCATCTGCATTTTTAAGTCCATTACTTCCAAGAATTTGAATTTACAACATACATTTTAAAATCTTTGTAAAAACGGCCACAAGCTAGTCCCTTAGACTATGCTTTGAGCTTTGAACAAGCAGATTTAAAGACAAATGCTGAAGAAGCATTGATCTGAAAAGCTCACTTGAGCCTCTAGCTAAGGTGAATTATGTATTATGAAATACTGTATATTATAAAATTAGCTCTTTTTCAAATGGAAAAGAAGCAAACCATTATGCAGGTGATCTAATTAAGAAGTCCTCTTAATCTAACACTTGATAAGGTCACCCTTGTTTCATTTTTAAATTTGAAAATAATAGGTATAGCATTTACTGGGATAAATTCTGAATGATCTGTGCACTAAGCTTATCTATACTCTGTAGTTAATTTTGTATTACCCTGTAGATTTTCCTGTGACAGTGTCTGTGATGGTCCGTAGGAAGTTAGGAGGTCGGATCAGTTCCTTCAGGATATTAGACTCCACTGCCAGCGGGAAACCATTGTCCAACATCTCATCCAGTAACTGTTAAAACATAAATAGTATTTCACTTGTTCTTTAATACTGGAAAGTTCATTCAGATTTATGTGTATTGTATGAGAGAGAGAAAGAGGGAAGCGATTCAATAAATGGTTGTTGCTTTTGCCACCTATCAGTACATCCATAAGAAGACGGATCAGTGGTATTAAGGGGAAAAAATAAGCATGTTCCTCAGAGGGAGTGGAAGTTACTTGCCATGTCATCAATAACATGTGGTTACAGACTGTCAGCATTTGTAAAAAGAGACATTCCTTTAGATGCCAAGTGTCTATTAAGTAATGCTTAAATGTGAGGTCTAATCAGCATATGGTAGAAACCCACAAACATTTTATAAGGAAGGATGAGTTATTTACCTCATACACAATAACAAAGTGTTCCTTCAGTGTAGTCTCTGAACATTCTGTAAAGTAGTCCTCAAATGTGTCAAAAATCCTGTGAAGAAACTCGATGACAAACAGTGGTGGTACTGAAATCAAACAAAAATGAATGGAATACTGCAGAAATGTAGCTCTCTTCATGCTCTAGGAAAGAATGTTTGCATAGAAAAACATATCTCATTTATTCATTTTAATAATTGCTGAGTCCATGCAGTCACATATTCCATCGACCATCATGTAAATTTGTACATGTAACTACTGTTTTACTGTATTACATTTTGGTAGGTAGTATTATGAGATGTCCATTAATTTTGAAGTTGATAAAGTGTTCTCTTCAAAGCTGCCATTGCTAAAAGATGCATACTTTCTACTATTAAAAGTGAATAAGATCATGAGATGCCTACCCTCTGCAGTGACTATTGCTATAAATACCCATGTGATAAGAAGCATGAAAATACCAACCTTCCAAGTTCACTATTATATGTAGTGTTAAATCTAGACCCTAAAAAGGGCATGGTAATCAAAGAATCAAAAGGGCACTTTGCGTCGCGACAGGATTCCATGGGGGCACTTTTAAAACAAATGTTAATGTGTTTAAAATTATATTAAACGTTTATTAATTTTTACATACTTTTACGTGTTTATTATAATAACTTTTAATATCCTTTCATATAATCTTTTTTTAATAAAGTAATTTAAAGATATCCACATATCTGTTTTCATTCATTTTTTTTAAATACCAACACATGAAGCACACCTGGGTTGACATGACAATTATTGAAACAAAAAGAATATAAAAAAGGCATTTACATCCAATTTCTTTGATTAATTAAAAAAGAAGGAAGGTTACACTTGAGAAAGGAATTGTATTAATCTATCAGAAATATGTGCAAAAATTATTAAAGTTTAGGAAGGATTTTTTTTTTACCTGCTTGGACTGTGTTATTTGTGTACTAGCACAGTCAAGTTACATTAAACAAAAATATTTTTTTCAGGGAAGGGGGGGGGCATTTTGAAAAAAAATGAAGAGACCATTCTCTTTACTTTGAAATAATTCTACCAACATGATCCAGTGAAAATTATAATCTTACTCCGAAAAAAATGAATACCAAGTATAATTTGCTTGAAAAAAAATCTGGCTTTAATTAAAAACATTGACCCTTAGATTGTCAAATCTAATCAAAGAAACTATCTTTGTTGTTTTTAAGCCTTTTTATCACATTAAATTAATTTTTTTGTACACTGTAAGTATTTTATTCAGGTAAAATATCCGTTTTCTCTTCAAGTTTAACAATGTGTTTTATTCTACTTTCGGTTAAAAAAAAAACGATCCTCATTTTAATTAGTTAATAATTTACAAGTTAATTTTACTTTGGTCTTTGGCTAATTCTTGCGTAATCAATGCAATCAAATGACAGTTTCTGAAGTTAAATCCTCTACCCTGACAGCCTGAGGCATGTTAATTAGCCAGGTGGCTGTGAGCGTTCGTTCAGGCGTGAAGTGATTTCCTGTCTTTGTATACACAAAGGGATTATCAGCATGCACTGAATAAACAGAACAGCAAAGGAATATTGCCAAAAAATGGCCATATTTATTAATTTTGGGTTTGGAAATAAGGGCATGGCGCTGGAAAAAAGGGCATGGCGCCGAGTAAAAGGGGCATGGCGCCGCGCCATGCTAGTTTGCTTCAGATTTAACACTAATATGTGTTAGCCACCTTATTTACTTATACCCAATATAAGGTACCACATGTATACATCAAAGAGATCTACAAAATTCATAGACCATTGATGTGATTATGATATGGTTATGAAGTACCACACTCAGAGGTAATCTTATTTTGCAACATCCAGCTCTGTAGTCACTAATGGCTATGAAGTAACCATTTTCTTCAGTGACTTCAAATAGAATATATTGTTTTAGGGACCAATGGCCTGAGGTATACCCACCTTCTGTGGTGACTACTGCCACAAAATACAGCTGGTTCCTGTAGATGTTAAGGAGGTAGTGATGAGGGGTGGCAATGACTGGAGGTACATCTTCTGGATTCCCTGCCTTTATATTGAAATCAAAAAGGCATTAAATATTTTCAGTTCATGTATACTTTATTTTTGAATTGATTTTGAATTTAAGCTGATTGAAAATAAATGTAAAATGGATCATTGAAATTAATGTGTTGCATACCTTTCCTTGTTCTTCAAAAAAGTAGTCACATATTGATTTGTGTACAACACTCTTCCAGTGCTTCTCCATAAACACATCTCTGTAAAAATTTCAGATCATTCAGATTTATCGATAACTCAAATATTATTTTTATTTCAAATATTATTTTTATCCTTTATCCTGTGGCATTCTATCTTTTATGTATCAATGAATTTCATTTCTGTTTAGGTCTTACAATGCAACATTTTTGAAGAATTTTTAATTTTAAGGATAGATGATACAAATAAAGTCTTTTCATAAAGAAGTCATGAAATTAACATTTAAATGTATGTTCATATAAGTAAAACATAAGCAATTGAACAGGATTGCCCCTTAGAAACTGAAATAACAGGGGATTTGAAAAAGCTATAGGGGGTTTGGGGTTCTTCCCCTGAAAGGTGGTTGAGTGGGAATATCAGAGTAACTGGAGGATTACATCAATAAAGATGGATAAATTCTCCAGCCTCCATGTTCTAGGGACAATCCTAAATAGAGTACATAGCTGGCCTCATCAAATTTTGCGTGTATCTTCAAGATAAACTAAGTTTTACATTAAACAAACAGTGTTTTCCCTAGGAACCAACTGCCGACCACTTCCAATTGACAAAAAATTGGAATAAAAATTATAATTTAATTGCTGTACGGTCCACAGAGTGTTTGTTCATAAATCTCAGTCTAAAGCCTATTACAATTGATCTCTAACCCTTTAGTAGGCTTTACATAGCAATAAAGGGAAAAACAACGCTTACAAACATTCTGGTAGTTTGCATCCCTATAGGTGCAACATTTAAGCAAGTTTAGTCTGGGTAAGTTTTTTAAGTTAACAGTGGTTAATTGGGAATAACTGGGTTGCACAAAAATCTTTTTTAATCAAACATCTGATAAGTTTCAGCATCCAAGCCCAGTTTACATAAAGTATTATTATACATATTATATGCATCATCCATGATTATTGATATTGCATTTACATTTCTGTAATCCAGTCACTCAGTGGAAAATGAGCATGTCGAATAAAATTCAGCATCTGAAACAAGTATTGCAAGTGCAGACACTGACTTTGAACACAAAATAACCTGTTAGGAAAGCAACTTTGAATTCTTACTTGCCCCGTTCTTAAACTAGGTATCCAGCAGCTTTTGACAGCTGACTGTGTCACACGGCAATAAGAGGGGTAGATGCTGGAGGGGGTTCCCTCTTCTGCTTATGTTGGGGGAGGGGGTAATCGTACTACCAGGTTTCCCCAAGCAAATTTTTGAAATCAAAGATGCCAACCCCTGCATTTTCATTAAAAGACATAAATCTCATCAGTGGGACGAGAATTAAAAATCATGGTAATGTTATCTAGTGTACTCACCCACTACCGTTGATAATAAATAAACTGTGTATCATTTTGAAGTCATGAAAATAGTAGAACTACAAATTATCTATACACAGCACAGGGGTGTACACGAAAGACCTTTTATTTTTTTTTAACTTCGAGCCCGATTTATAATGATAAGTATATCGTGCCCGAGTTTATGACTGATATTTTTAATTTTAAGGAATCAAGTTGCATATAGTTAGTATAATACGATAGTTGGAAACTTGGTATACTTTACATAACGGACGAAGCCTGACTTATAATAATAATTTGAAAGGTTAGCAAAATGAAATACTTTTAAGCCCAAACGTCACAGACAACTGCAACGTCACAATGACAATTATGACGTCATTATTCCTTAGACTATTAGCAACAAATGTCAGAATATTGTTTACATCAGAAGCAAAAGCGTGTGCTTTGAAGCAATGGATATTCATAATCAGGTGAGTAGATACTTTAAACAAACTCATGTTAGTAAATTATGACAAACAAATTGTTGTACATAAACTATACCTAGTGCATTTTCTTTTGCATCAATTAATTTAAATACTATTCTACAGTGATATCGACGACAGTAACTACTGTACAAAATAATTATTGAAATAATTTATTTGAAGAATTTTTAAAGAAACAGCTACACAGATATGAATTATTGTAAAAAAAAAATCACAACTTATAAATCTAAAACCTCGTACTTGGTAAAAGTTCCCCTTTCAGAATATAACTACATGTACATGTAATATGACTTTAAAATTGTATTTAAAAAATCTTCTTTTATGCTTGCAATCTTAAAAAAAAATCTCTCCGTTGTATTTCAGAGTAAAGTAGATGTCCCGGTAGCAATTAAATCCTCAACAAAAGAAATGACCAATTCTAAGGTAGGAAAAAATCAAAAATCAAATATCTTACAATGCAAAATATAGTAATACTGATACTATGAATCTTCGACAAACGTTATTATTATACCGGGTACTAGTGCATTTATATAGCATTCTTATTGTTTCTAAAACATGCATTTGCAATTGAAGGAGGAAAGCAAAAACTTCTTGGAGTCAAAGAAACCAAGTCAGTTACTGGAACTGGGAGAAGAGCTCGAAATTCAAGGGACTGAAGCCAGCGCAAGCGGTAATGGATTACCCGAAATATCGGAAGAGGAACCCCAAATCGACAACTCTGTGATACAACATATGAAGAGACTGACGCCCATTTTTGATGCAAAATCTGGGATTGTTATAGGAGAGATACACGCCCAGTACCTTCCCAGTGGATCGGACGAAGACGACAGAACAGCGATAAACACAGCTGAAACCCAAACCAGTGGAACAAACAGTGGTACAAAAGTACCCAAAGGGTCACAGGTTAGATAATATCTTTTTAATAAAAATCTTTAGTAGATGTAAAATGATCCCACTTAATGAATTATGTTTGAGAATTTTTAAAATTGATAAATACCTCTTTCTAATTATAGAGCTCAAATTTTCGCCGGAAATTCGAACACCACCACGAGGGACGGAAATATTCCGACATGCAGCGACGAGAGTCGAACAAAGTAAGAATATTTAATGTGTTAATATTACAAACACAAACAGACTTAAACAGATTAATAAAATATTTACTTCCGTAATCTGTAATTCAAAAATCTGAATTATTATTTCTGATACTGAAATTAACACGGTTAATTTCTGTTACAGGAATATATTTGGATTGGAGGTCATTGACACGGAGGTCACTCTTTTGTCAACGGAGGTGAGGAAAAAAGTAATTCACAGTTTTGCTGTTTGTCCATACAGCACAGTATTTTTCCCTATGATATATTAAAAAGTTTTGAACATTGAAGAGAACAAAGAGAACATAAATGCGGAGTATTTTTTGTATATGTTTTAAATTAACATGTCTATTTACTATAAATAACATTATCATTATTTTCCCCTAAAATATTTTGCAATAATAATTTTTTTTCAGTAAATCGAGTGCCAGGCCCACAAATCAAAGTCTGAAAGTGACCTTGAAAACGACTATTTCACCAGACATCCACTGATGCGACTATTCCTTTGTGGAGCATGTTGTTGTCCAGTGAGTACAAGTTCCCGAATACTTTATAATTATAAAAGTCATCTCTGTTTGAATGTCCTATCTGTGACCGAATACTAGTATTAGATTTGAAGATTTTCATTCTTTTTATTTTTAGAAAAAAGTGAAAACCAAGAAAACCGAGAAAGTTGGACTGTGCCAGAGAATAAGGAAAATTTTCCACAGGAATTAAACGAATAAACCTGACTTTTTCATGTATCTGAAAAAAGAAGCTACATGTAATCTGTGATATTTTCTTATCAAAGTTTATTAAAATCTTATTTTTATGTTTACATATATTTTGTTGTTTATTTAGATTCTATTGACTCGATGTTTGGAACGTTTACTGCTAACATGCTTTCACCATTGACCCGGACTTTGAAAAAGTTTTCTTTCTGGTAAACTACAAATGTATTGTACAGGGACGTCGTATATATATACATTGTAATATGAAATATTGAATACTCACAGTACTAGTGTTTAAAAATGAAAACATTCAGATTAAAAAAAAAATTCTAACGGTACTCCATGATCAAGTATGTATTCACCCATTTTACTCTGTGTTTCATCTATTACACATGTAATGATATCCGCTCTTCAGTCAGGAAGGATAACCATAAGCAGTAGTTAATTAACAAAGATTATATTGAAGAATATGGGAAAACGATTTTTTTAATTAAATAAACATTCAAATTATAAAAAATATCATAAAATACTGTGGTGGAAGATGCATTGAAACATCATAAACGTAATGACTTTTGAAATTAATTTTTTTTTACCAGATAATTATTTTATTAATTAAAAACAGAGGGAGATACATGTATCTTTTACAACAATTAAAGGTCATAGGACACTATGCACCCTTACATGCTTATAGTCATAAATGGGAATTATGTCTAAATAAACTGAATATCCCTCATCTAAACATCTGTTATGTATTCAGTTTTAAAGAATCTGTTGCTATTAGGGATAGAATACCTTAATTAAAGAAGTCTCAACATTAGGCTTAAAATTCAAATCTTTCGTGCAACACTTTTTATTTCATCAAAACAATATGATTCAAGGTTCTCTGGCATTTAAAAAAACTGTATTGTAAAAACTGTAATTTAAATTTCATACCCCATAAAAGAATAAAATAAATACATCTTTAGATAAATCAAATTTCCATCAACTCTACCCAAACTTGTTAGCCATGATACGAAATCAAAAGTCTTCCGATGATAGAACATGATATTTACACTATGCATAATACTATATACAGGGAAATTTCCGTCCCGTTTTATTTTCAAGTTCGCGCTACCCTCATTTGGGCGAATTTAAAACGGGGCGAATTCAAAGAATACTGTATAATTTCATAAACAAAACTATGACAGGGCGAATTTGAATCGAGGCAAAATTGTCCACAAGTGTTATGTAATACAAGTGTTATAAAATAACCATGTTTACAGTATAATGATGGAGGAAAAAAACTAAATTATCATATAACTATTTAAAGCATGTATTTCCCCCCAAATGTCTGGATACCTATTATACTGTTATTCCAAAATACATTTGTAGATCAATTTACAATTAAAAATTACGTAACTGGTGCTTTCATTTGTATTAATATCCTAAAAACAAGTAGATTAAGATTTGATAACATCACCAATATAATATGATTAGCTATATAGTGATGAGCTTTGAAGATATATCATGGGTAAATACATATATTGTAGCTGTACATTTTGAAATAAGATTTCATAAACATTTTCAATTTCAGAACCCGAGGATAAGATTTATCATTACCTTAAATGATTGTACAGTTCATTAATTGTCAGGTAGGTATAAATCTTATATCCATTAACTGTTATATTTCAGGACCGTTTATCGAAAACGAATATGAATCTAGACTTCTTTATTTTATTTAAATTAAACGATTGCAATACAAATGTTAATGACAACATCTTATAACTGGAGTGAGCATGAACTTAAGCTATTTACGCAGGCATTTGTGGGGTTATATGTACGTGCAAAAAATATTTATTTATAATTCATGATGTAATATATAACAACAAATTTATAGCTAATGCTGATTGGATGATAAAAAAGAGTTAGGTTCAGTGATTAGAGTGTACATTGTAGTTATTACCAATGTCAAAGATTTTATGCAGAATGAATTTTCCTTTGATGAAAAGCTACCGATAAGTGCAACAAACAAGTATTCTTTCTCGAATTGAAAATTAAATCCCACCAAGTGTTATCATTGGAACATTGAGGTCAATATTCACGGAACGGAAACTCCCCAATACTGGTAAGACAAATCCGATAGAGAAGAAACAATATACTAAGTATCATTCAGATTTTTTTTTTAAAGAAAAACGAATTAAACAGTTGAGAATAGAAATGTCTATAATTATGGTAAGATACGTAATTCAAGATATTTTAATTCATTTTTAATAATGTATCTACTTTCGTTTTCAATTATATTTTCTTTCGGCATTTATCTTCATTTTTAATTTTTAAAAAAATATATGATCATATATTTGTTTCGATTATTTTATAGGTAAACTTTGATAATATTAAGGAATTATTGGACTTTAAAAATGATCTATTGGAAAGACCAATTTCCGAGAAAAAGCCAGAAATCAAATTCATCAATGTTCCTTGTTATGTTCTGTGTTATGTGTCTAAATTTTTCGGATTTTCATTTTGATCCTAACATTATTTAAGTATTGTACCCCACAAAGGATGTGTTTGCATTTTAAAAGATGGCCTACCGATTTATGTAGGAGAAAACAATGTCTGAGAAAAAGTCAGAATTCAGAATCAATGTTTTTTTTCTACAATTTATTTGTTTGAATTTGTTTAATTTTTTTCAGATTTGCATTTTGAACTTAAATTTCTTATCTACAACTTTAAAATCTTACATTCAGATTTGGCTTATTTAATGCATAAAGTACCGATTTTTTTTGTCTACAGACCTGCATGCAGGCTTGTTTAAATAAACTGGTTAAGAGAA